GGTTGTCCCCGTTGAGGAGTCTGCTGACTCTGGTGGTACCCCCGGTCCGTCCTTGCCGCGTCCCCCTTCCCCGGTGCCTCCGCCCCCACTGTCGCAGTCGCCGACCCCGCTGCCGCCGCCGTCGCCGTCGCCGCCACAGCCGTCGCCGCTGTCGCCGCCGCCGCAGCCGTTGCCGCCACTGCCGCCGCTGCTCTCGGCCCCTGGGGGTGCTGGTGTGGAGGAGGGTGTTCGTCCTGCGGCTTCTGGGGGTGCCGCTGGTGTTGGAGGGGGTTCTCGCTCTGGGGGTGTTGGTTCTGGGGGTGCTGCTGTTGAGTGTTCTGCCGACGGTCGTTCTGCCTCTGCTGGTCCGAGAGTTCCGGCCCAGCCGTCGTCGCCGCCGCAGCAGCCGTCGCCGCCGGTTTCCGCTCTCCGCCTGCTCGGCCTTCCCTCCCCGGACCGCGCGCCGGTGTCTCCCCCACCGCCTCCTGACCTCCCTGTCTACGGTCCTGTGTTCCCGCCGCCAGACTCGTCTCCGGCCCGTCTTCCTCCTCGTTCCCCTCCTGTGTCTCCTCCGCTGTCCCCTGACCCTACCCCTCCGTCTCACGTTTGGGCTCGCCGTCCCTCCCGTGCTCGTCCCGTCTCTCCTGTCCTGCCCACCCACCCTATGTTGCTCCGTTCCCACTCGTCTCGTCCTCCCCTCCTCCCGTCCCCTCCTCCCTCGTCCCTTGCTGTTGCACCTCCTCCGTTCTCTGACTACCTCCGTGTTGCTCGTCCCCTTGTCCCTCGGGTCCTTGCCTCTCTTGTTACCGACCCTGCTGTTCCTGTCTCGCGCCTTGACGCGCTTGTCGCTGCTGTCGCTGACTTCGCTTCTACCCGCCGCCTTGACTACGCTACCGCTCTGGTCTCTGACCCTGCCCGTCCTCTGTCCGTCGGGGGTGCTCCTGCCCTTGGCAGTGACGTCCTAGAGGACAGGCAGTACGAGCTGGCTTTCCTTTCCGAGGCTGCTCCCCATCTCTGCTCCATGCTGTTAGTCCCTGAGGGTGACCCAGACGCCTTCGACATCCCGACCCCTCGCACCTACGCTGAGGCCACCTCGGGACCTTGGGCCTCTCAGTGGATAGCTGCCATGGAGCAGGAGATGGCATCTTGGAGATCCACCGGCACTTACGTCGACGCAGTTCCCCCGCCTGGGGTGAACGTAGTCGATGGTCGGTGGCTCTTCAAGGTGAAGCGCCCCCCTGGAGAGCCGCCTGTCTTCAAGGCACGCTACGTGGCCAGAGGTTTCAGTCAGCGCGAGGGGGTTGACTTCTTCCAGACCTTCGCCCCGACCCCGAAGATGACCACTCTTCGGGCGCTGCTACACGTAGCAGCACAGCGTGACTACGAGCTTCACTCCCTCGACTTCTCTACTGCCTTTCTTCAGGGCAGCCTACACGAGCAGGTCTACCTGCGCCGACCACAGGGCTTCACTGGTACCTTCCCTCCTGGGACCCAGTGGCTTCTCAGGCGCCCGGTCTACGGCCTGCGTCAGGCTCCCCGCGAGTGGCACGACACGCTACGTGCCACGTTAGCAGACCTGCAGTTCTTTCCGTCCTCTGCTGACCCTTCACTGTTTGTGCGTTCCGGCCAGACTCCGTTCTACATCCTTGTCTACGTAGACGACCTGGTCTTCGCTACTCCTGACAGGGACGCACTGGCCTCTGTGAAGGCTGAGCTGCTGAAGAGACACACCTGCACTGACCTTGGAGAGCTGCGTCGCTATCTTGGCCTGCAGATCTCTAGGGACAGAGCAGCACGCACCATCACTCTGACCCAGTCACACTTGGTGCGTCAGGTCCTTCAGAGGTTCGGTCATCAGTTCTCCTCCGCACAGCCCACACCTCTACCCGTAGACCATGGGCTCTCTGCTCCCGTTCCTGAGGAGCCAGTAGAGCCCAGTGGCCCCTACGCAGAGCTGGTGGGTTGCCTCATGTACCTGATGACTTGCACTCGCCCAGATCTCGCATACCCTCTCAGCATCCTGGCTCGCTTTGTGGCTACAGGCAGACACCGACCTCAGCACTGGTCTGCCGCTAAGAGGGTTTTGCGTTATCTTGCTAGCACATCAGGCATGGGGTTAGTGCTAGGAGGACGCAGGCCAGTGGTCCTTACTGGGCACACAGACGCTTCTTGGGCAGACGACGCTGAGACGCTCAGGTCGTCGCAGGGCTACTGTTTCAGCCTTGGTTCGGGTGCTATCTCTTGGAGATCCACTCGCTCGTCGTCTGTGGCTCAGTCTAGCTGTGAGGCTGAGATCTACGCTGGTGCCATGGCGGCACAGGAGCTCCGCTGGCTGACCTTCTTGCTCACAGACTTAGGTGAGCGGCCTAGCTCTGCCCCGGTCCTGTACGCTGACAACAGGGCCATGATACTCCTGTGTCAGGAGCCTCGGCTTGAGGGCAGAGCGAAGCATATCCAGCTGCGGTACTTCCTCCTGCGCGAGCTACAGCAGCGCCGCCAGGCCCGCGTAGTTCACTTGGCCTCAGGTGCCAACACAGCTGATATCTTTACTAAGGCGCTTGCGCCTAAAGATCATCAGCGGCACTGTCTACAGCTTGGTCTTGTTCCTATAGCTGCTCCCCTGTTAGGATCCTGATTGTGTACTCTCTATTATATATGCTTGTCAGACTGGCCTTGTGGCCTTACCTCCAGTGGCTGGACTAGTAGTGCCACCCTGGCTTGCTTCAGTTTTGGTTGTATTCTTGCTGACTGGTCTCCAGACCCCTGCCTCAGTGGTTGGACTAGTAGTGCCGCCCTGAGCTGTTTGCTTCTTGTTTAGTTTCACCCCTTGTCTAGCCTAGGGGGTGTGTCAACTTATACATATTATCTATGTAGAAGTTATAGGCTAGACTGAGGTATGCTTCTAGTGAGTACAACCAACTAGTATTTGTTCTAGGTTTCCACCTCTAGTAATCATTCGTTTCTACGTTAACAGTACCCTCCCTAGAGAGAGAGGAGGTTCGATAGTGCTATCACAATGCCACGATAATGAGGCCACATTTGAGTACCGCGATTTGAATTTCATGTCAGAGCGGCGTGGCAACCCTGTTATAGAAGTGTACGCCTTAATAACTAAAACCCATAAAGAAGAAAATATACTTCTTTTACAGCTCGAGAAAATCCGTAGCACGGTCATTAGTGTAGCAAACGATATCTAAGAACCTGCATGGACATAATATAAATGCAAACTGTTAAAACGGTAATAGCGTTAATCCAACCAATAAAAAAGGAGGGGGGGAGAGGGAGGAGCGCGGGGTTGGAATCGAATTATGGCTATGTGCCCATTTAGTTTCTATGGCAGGGCCTATATTTGGAGAGTACGTTATGAGAAAATAATTGCAGGAACATGCAAATCTGTGGTCAAGATTTACTTGGCAGATGGTTTTCATTTATGGCCATCATTGTGTTGATAAATTCTCAAACCCTTGTTAGAAGATAGCAGTCACCTTATATGCATGTACGCAACACTGTAATGTGCCAATATTTCAGTGTACATGTCTTGTCGTAGGCTCGTAGGGGGAGGCGGAGGCGAACCACTACGGCGCGACTTGGGCAGAACCAAAGAAAAGAATTGTCAACAATGCGCACAAATGGACACTTCTGGGCAATGGATCCTGCCCCACAGAAATACACCTGTCTATGATTACTGTCTCAAGAAAAACAGTTTCAGTATTGTACATACCGCATTGCAAATATCGACTGATCATGTCTCACTTTTTACAGTCCCACCCGCGGCTTGCTCAACGTGAATCGATTTGACCCGGAATTTCCGGCTCTGAATGTCCAACTAGCTGAGTTATTTAGGGGGGTTGATTGGCTGGTGACATAACCAGGCGAACAAATCTATTGAAAATCGTACGGGCAACATCCCCTAGCGTTGCTACAATCTCATAAGCAGGTGTCGAAATTTCCGTACGAAGCAGCTCAACGAGAGGCACAGTAAACTTTTCCCCTCAGTGTGCTGTTTTCCCGGCGTTGCAACTTACGGTTTACTATTTCTAACCATTGAATGAATGTTTTATGATAATTGTACGAGACGAAGTAAAGGTTCCACTAGCGCTTTCGTGGTTCCTTCCTACAAACTGAACTGTTCAGGGATTTGTCTGTCGTGCGTCACAGCTGAGGGTGATTTTTTGCTCGTGTCCGACCCTAGTATCATACGGGAATACCCGAGGTGGAAGAAAATTGCCTCGGGTCTTACGACTCCTGACGGCTGCTTGACTGGAAACACACCGTTCGTATACAAACCTACCGGGCTAGAAGTGACGTAAGTGCATCGTCCGCCAATGTACACCTTCGAATTAGCTTTGCGACAACTCTGTGCGGTTTTCTGTAAATCGTCAACTCGTTGTGCGACTTTCTGCACCTCTTTATGCGACCGACCGTCAAAGTCACGAGACCCAAGGTTGAGCCTCTAAATCCCGCGGGTCAGCTCGGGCCAGACCCGAGGTGCAGAATCGACTCTGAAGAGCACACTGGTTGGCATGGCAGTGCCCTGCATCCGTCTGTCTGGTCTGGTCTGGCTTCCTGACCGTACAGTAATTGCTTAGGTTAAAAGATTCTTGCAGCTGGGCAGTGAGCACAGACACTGACACAGTGACCCAGTCCATCTCCGAGCCGCCATGGGTGAAGGGGCAGTGGTATCCACCGACAAAAAACTAGGAGTGGCCCCACCTCCACATTGTTATGGTGCTCGCCCTCAGGTCGGTTTTTCCATCGCAACCTCTTCGCTTCCATTTCGCAAACGCCATGCGGCTTCGCGTGCATACCAATGGCGGCTGGCAATGTCCCCCATGGTCCTAACTGTCAGTGTTCGTCGCGTCGCATTTTTCGCATGCCACATTTTCTTCCAGCGTTGCAAGGTTCGACGGGGTTACCCACTGCTCAGCCTGGCCCCAACCACACCCACCCACGCTGACCCAGCCTCAGCCCAGGCATAGACTCACGCACATCCTGCTCGGCTGTTATTCCCACGTTGTCACATTTCACTTGCTGGATGTTGGCCTGAGCCCCACGTTTCGAGGACTCGAGGTTCGCTTCTCCTCGAGTCGTTTCGATTCGCCTCGCGCCGTCTCGCGCCGCTTCGAATCGTCGGGGAGGTCCTCAGAATGGCGTCCAGCGAAGGCTCTGCCGGTACTGGCGGAGGTGGACGCGGCGGTCAAGATCGCCGCGGCGCGCGGCGGCTCCCTACATTTCCAGCGCATCACCACCTCTCGGTCCTCCTCGCGTCGCTCCTCCTCGTTTTCCCGTCCAGCCTCCATCCCTCTTCAGAAGGCGGCGCATTTGGCGGCGCGTTTGGCGGCGCGATTCTCGGCGCTGCGTCCTCCCTGCCCGAGCTCTCGTCGTACTCCAACATGGCGCTGCTCGATCCGAGCTTCGAGCTCTTCTGGAGCGTCAACGCGAGCGACGCGACCATCCACGTGGCGGCCAAAGCACAGACTGCGGGATGGCTCGGAATAGGCATCTCCGAATCCGGCGGAATGGTCGGCTCTGGTCCGTTCCCCCCACGCTCCGAGCGTCCCCCCGGGCTCGTTCCCCCGCGCTCGTTCCCCCGCGCTCGTTTCCCCGGGGCCCGCGCTCGTTTTCCCCTCGTGGCGCTTGTTCCTTTGCGCTCGTTCCACCGCCCCCCCGCCGTGCTCGTTCTCGTTCCTGAAGGTTGCGCGGAGTGAACAGGCTCCCATGGCGCATTTTCCCACCTGCAGACGATCGTCATGGGCCATGATGGGCCATGATGGGCCAGGATGGGCCATGATGGGCCATGATGGGCCAGGATGGGCCATGATGGGCCATGATGGGCCATGATGGGCCATGATGGGCCATGATGGGCCATGATGGTCGCAGTGAGGCCGAGGGTCGCACGTATGCGACGGATTGGTTCATCCTCTCTCTCCGCCGTGCCTCTTTCTCCCGTCCTTGCCAACAGACGTGCTGGTGGCATGGGTGGCGAATGCCACACGTATGCGACGGATCGGTTCGTTCGCTCACTCTGTTTTTTCGCACTCCCGTCGTGTCGCAGATGTCCTCGTCGCATGGGTGGCGGAGAGCGAGGGGCGCGCGTACGCGACGGACGTCTCTCACTCACTACCGCGCCTGTTTCCCCTCCTCTGTGCTGGCAGACGTGCTAGTGGCGTGGGTGGCGGAGAGCCAAGGGCGCGCGTATGCGACGGACCGCTTCGTGTTCAACAAGACGGGCGAAGGCGTCGCGTTGGACGCGCAGCAGGACTGGCACGTGGTGGGCGGCAGCCAGACCGCCGACCAATCCACGGGCGCCACGTGGACCACCGTGCACGTGTGGCGCCAGCTGGACACCGGCGACTGCAACGACCGCCCCATCGTCGCCGGGGCGCCGTCCTACGTCGTCTGGGCCATGGGTGAGGGGGGGGGGGGGAGGGGTATGGGGGGGGAAAGGGAGGGGTAAGGGTGGGGGGGACATGAGCTAGACGCGCCGTCCTACGTCGTCTACGCCATGGATGAGGAAGGAGGGGAGAGAAGGGAAGGGGGGGTGAGTGGTAGGGGGCATGGGAGGGCGTCGGAAGGGCATGGGGGCATGGGGGCATGGGGCCATGACTGTGACTATGCGGATGCCTACGTACGAATGCTGTGTGACGCTACGCGCTTGCTGTCTTGTGCTTTGTGCTTCCCCACCTCTCCTCACCTCCTCTGCTTCCCCTCCCTCCCTCTGTGCGTGTGTGCATCTAACTGTTTGTGTCTTTATGTGTGTGCTTGTGTGTGTGTGTGTGTGTGTCGTTATGTGTGTGCTTGTGTGTGTGCTTGTGTCTTTATGTGTGTGCTTGTGTGTGTGTGTGTGTGAGTGTGTGTGTGTGTGTGAGTGTGTGTGTGTGTGTGGGTGTGTGTGTTTCTCACTTTCCCCTTCCTCCACCACGGTTTGACACCTCCCCTTCCCAGGCACAACCGACGAGCTCGCCTATCACAGCGCGACACGTGGCGCCACCTCACTCCTGCTCGTGCCTGCCCCGGGCCCCTCCATCCTCGACCCTTCTGCCCCTTCCACCACCGCCCAATCCGCTTCTGCCAGCTCGCCTGCCATTACGTCAGCAGGCAAGCTCGCCTCGTCAGGGTTAGGCCGCGGGCAGGCAAACGGGCAGGAAGTGGGAGGAGCGAAGAGTGAGAGTGGGCGGCTCAACCTGACCATGACGGATCACAAGGTGTCGGCCAACTACACCACCTACATGTGCAAGGTACGCCGCCCCTGCCCACCTTGTGCCCCTGCCCTCCTCTCCCCTGCTCCTACCGTCAACTCAATGCGTTTCCCCTTGTACCGCCCACTCCTCTCGCCTCACCCCATACGTCTTTTGAGGCGCCTCAAAACTCACCCCATACGTTTCTGACCTTCCATCCACCTGCCGCTCCCCTCCAAGCGCCACGTCACTGGCTTTGGCATCCACGTCAACTCCCCAAGCTCTCTGCCACTCCGGTGCTTCCAACTTGTTTTCCCTCTCTTCACTACTCCGTTGCCCCCTCCCCCCCCCCCCCCCCCCCCCTCCTCCCCCCCCTCTTCCCCCGGTTTCAGACCTTCGACCTGCTGCGCCCGTCCAAGCGCCACATCACCGGCTTTGGCATCCACATGAACTCATCACCCCCCCGCTTCTTCCCATCCCACACCTCCCAAAACCTTTGAACCCCGCACGCCCCTTTCAGACCTTCGACCTGTCACTCCCGTCCAAGCGCCACGTCACTGGCTTTGGCATCCACAAGAACTCGTCGCACCCGGGCGTGCTGCACCACGTGCTGCTCTTCGGCTGCCCGCTGTACGTCCCTGTCTGCCTCCCTTGCTGCTCGCTGTACGCCCCTTAGGCTCCTGGACGGGCTTGTGAGCTCGAGGCTTCCCTCTAACTCGTGAGAGCTGAGCTTCGACTCACAGTCTAGATCCACACGTCTCACCACCGCCTTTAACATCCACGTCAACTCGTCCCACCCACCCATGCTGCAGAATTTGTTGCTCCGCGTGCTGCTCTTCGGCTGCCCGCTGCACGTCCCTGTCTGTCTCATCCACTTCCCCCATAGCAGTGACGAGTACAACAGACGGGGTGTATGATTGCATGCACGAGCCCCCCGTGTAATGTCTCCCCCTTCCCTCCCCTCACCTCCCCTCTCCTCTCCTCCCCTCCCCTCCCCTCCCCTATACCAGGGAGGAGTTCAAGGACGTGCCAGCAACAGATGGGGTGTATGAGTGCAAAAGCAACGCCCCCTGCCAGGGCCACACCGTGGCCATGTGGGGGCTGGGGGGTACCCACTACTCCTTCCCTCCTGATGTCGGCATGCCCATCGGCCCCGGCTACTACACCAAATTCGTGCTGCAGGTGGGTTCTGTGCAGTGCAGTGCGGTTCTGATGGGTGCAGTGCGGTGTAGTGGTGGGTATTTGTGCTCACATGCCATGTGGGGGCTGGGGGGTTACGCACTACTCCTTCCCTCCTGATGTCGGCATGCCCATCGGCCCCGGCTACTACACCAAATTCGTGCTGCAGGTGGGTTCTGTGCAGTGCAGTGCGGTTCTGATGGGTGCAGTGCGGTGTAGTGGTGGGTATTTGTGCTCACATGCCATGTGGGGGCTGGGGGGTTACGCACTACTCCTTCCCTCCTGATGTCGGCATGCCCATTGGCCCCGACTACTACACCAAGTTCGTGCTGCAGGTGGGTGCTATGCGGTGCAGTGCGGTTCTGATGGGTGCATTGCGGTGTAGTGGTGGGTATTTGTGCTCACATGCCATGTGGCTGGGGGATTCCCACTACATGTCGGCATGCCCATCGCCTCCGGCTACTACACCAAATCCGTGCTGCAGGAGGGTGCTGTGCGGTGCAGTATGCGTTCAGCGTGGCTCAGTGTGCTGATAGTGAATCATCGTGCAAGCATGGCACGTGGAGGAGACTAGGCGCTCGACCTACTTCTTTCCTTCCGGTGTCCACGTGCCACTATTCCCCCCACCCCCACCCCCACCCCCACCCTCACCCTCACTCTCTCCCTCACCCACCTCCCTTCTCTCCCCTCCCCCTTCTCCCCCCCACGCTCTCCCCCCCCTTTCCCAGATCCACTACACGAACCCCGAGGGCCGTGCTGACATCATCGACAGCAGCGGAATGTTCCTCGAAACTTCTCCGCCGGGGAAGCACGACGCGGGGATCATGATGGTGGGGCCGGTGTTCTACAGCCTGCTGCTGCAGATCCCCCCCGGGCAGCCCTCGTGGACGCAGGAGAACGTGTGCCCCGGCCGCTGCACCAAGTCCGTGTTCAAGAACGAGTCGGTCAACATCATCGCTGCTGCTCTGCACCAGCATGCGCTAGGGCGACAGGTGAGACATGGTCAGGGTAGGCGTGGCCTACACACATGCACAGCATGCCCACGTGTGCCGCTGCGCTGCACCAGCATGCGCTAGGGCGACAGGTGCGTTCTCACCGTCATGACCTGTCATGACGCGTCATGACACCATCATGACACGTCATGACACCATCCACCCCCATGCATGATGCATGCACCAAGACGGTGTTTAAGAACGAGTCTGTCGTCAACATCCCAACATCAGTGCCACCGCTGCCCTGCACCAGCACCAGCACCAGCACCAGCACCAGCACCAGCACGCCCTAGGAGAACGACAGGTACTGCTGCATAGTCCCACCCACAAGGTATCACATGCTGCTCCTGCCCATGTTGTTGTTTCCCCTCCTCACACGCGTATCGCCCCTCTCCTCCCCCCTCTGCCCCACATTGCTCTCCCTTCCTCCATACGCCCCCGCCCTAATGCTTCCCCCCCGTGCCCTCCCCTTCTTCCCCCCACCTCACCTCCCGTCCCTGCATTCAGGCGCGTGTAGGGATGGCTTCCTCCCCTCATGCTCTCAACTCTTCCCCCGCATGCCCTCCCCTTCCCGTCCCTCATCTCACCTCACCTCACTTTACCTCGCCTCACTTCACCTCACCTCAACTCACCTCAACTCACCTCACCTCACCTCACCTCACCTCACCTCACCGTGTAGGGATGGACTCCTGCCCCTTATGCTCTGAGCTCTTCCCCTCACGCCCTCCCCCGCCCGTCCTTCACCTCCCCTACCCTTCCCTGCCCCTCACCTCCCCTCCCTCCCCCCCCACCTCACTGCCCGCCCCTGTGATCAGATGTACACGGACATGTACCGGGACGGACTCTGCCCTCCATGCACCCCCCTCCTGCTCCCCTCTCACCTCACCTCACCTCACCTTACCTCACCTCACCTCATCCCCCTCCTCCCGCTCCCCCCCCCCCCACCTGACCTCCCGCCCCTGTGCGCAGATGTACACGGACGTGTATCGGGATGGGGCCAAGGTCAGCACGATCGCACGCCTGGACTACTAGTGAGTGCGCTGCTGCTGCTGTTGCCGGTGCTAGTAATGATGCCTCCGCTGCCACTGCTGCTATGGCCGCCAGTCTCCTGGTCCTGAGCCAATTTTTGCCCATCCATGCCGATCACCTTCTCCGACCTATCTCACTCTCCTCTTCCTCACCTCCTCCTCTCCCTTCACCCCCCACTTTCTCCTCTATCCCTCCCTCCCTCCCTCCTCCCCCCACCCACCCAACTCTCCAGCGACTTTGCCTCGCAGCAGATGCTGCAGGTGCAGCCGCCGTTGGAGCTTCAACGCGCCCCGCGGTCATCATACCCCTCTCCCCGACCCCGCCCTCGCTCCCCTCCCGTCGTCATCACACCCCTCTCCCCCGCCCTCGCCCTCCTCCCATCATGCCCCCTCCTCCCCCCCTCCCTCGCAGCGACTTTGCCTCGCAGCAGATGCTGCAGGTGGAGCCGCCCCAGGAGCTGCTGCCCGGGGATGAGCTGCGCACCAAGTGTGTGTGGGACTCCACGTCGCGCTCCAAGGTGAGGAACGGTGCAATGCGGTGATGTGCGGAGATGTGTGGTGATGTGTGGTGATGTGTGGTGATGAGTTCTGCCTCGTGGTATGAGGTCATGAGCTGTTGCCCGGCGATGAGCTGCGCACCAAGTGCGTGTGGGGCTCCACATGGCACTCGGAGGTAGGCAATGGTTGTGAGTGGTAAAGAGCGGTAGTGAACAGCAATGAGCGGTGCAGAGGGGAGGTAAGTTGAACTGTGGTTTTGGGGATGAGGTGCGCGCCCAGTGCTTGTGGGACTCCTCGTCACACTCAGAGGTACAGCATGGTGATGAGCGGTGATGAGCAGTGTTCCGTTGACCAGTTGCGTCTGATGGTGTCTGTTGCTTCGTTTCCGCTGTGTTATATCTGAATGCTGTATGGGTGAGCTGTGTGGGTGAGCTGTGTGGGTGAGCTGTGTGGGCGAGCTAACCCACGCCACCCATACCGTGGGCACCATGGCACGCCATGCTTGCAGGTGACCATGGGCGGCGAGTCGAGCGTGGAGGAGATGTGCATCAGCTTCCTCATCTACTACCCGGCATACAGAGACAAACGAGGTGAGGCAGCCTGGCATGTGAAGACAAGCGAGGTGAGGCAGTGTGTCTCCGCTGGCTTGTATTCACACGCGCTCTCCTCTCAATGCGTGCGCGCCCAGTCACCCATCAACCCCCCTTCATTTCTTCCTCTGCGCTACTCCGCTCTCCCCCCAACCTCGGCTCCCCTCCCACCAACCTGGGCTCCCCTCCCCCCAACCTGGGCTCCCCTCCCCCTAACCTGGGCTCGCCCTAACCTGGGTTCGCCCTAACCAGGGCTCGCCCTAACCTGGGCTTGCTCAACCGGGTCTGCGTTTTAGTGGGTGTGCGAGCTCAGAGAAACCTGGGCTCCCTCAAACGCGGTCTCCACCTAACCTGGGCTCGCCCTAACCTGGGTTCGCCCTAACCTGGGCTCGGCCTAACCTGGGTTCGCCCTAACCTGGGCTCAGCCTAACCTGGGTTCGCCCTAACCTGGGTTCGCCCTAACCTGGGTTCGCCCTAACCTGGGCTCGGCCTAACCTGGGTTCGCCCTAACCTGGGCTCGGCCTAACCTGGGTTCGCCCTAACCTGGGCTCGGCCTAACCTGGGTTCGCCCTAACCTGGGTTCGGCCTAATTTGGGTTCGCCCTAACCTGGGCTCGCCCTAACCTGGGTACGCCCTAACCTGGGCTCGGCCTAACCTGGGCTCGGCCTAACCTGGGCTCGCCCTAACCTGTGCTCGCCCTAACCTGGGCTCGCCCTAACCTGGGCTCGGCCTTACCTGGGGTCGGCCTTACCTGGGCTCGGCCTAACCTGGGCTGGGCCTTACCTGGGCTGGGCCTTACCTGGGCTGGGCCTTACCTGGGCTGGGCCTTACCTGGGCTCGCTCAACATGGCCGCCTCCTCTGCTTCCCTCTCCCTGCTCTTTCCCCTTCTCCCCCCCCCCCCCCCCTCCCCCCTTCCTTCCGCCTCTTCATGTTGGGAGCAGAGATGCGGGCGTGTGTGGGCATGTGCGGCGACATCTCCAGCAGGTCGCTCAGCATGGCCCCTCTCCTCTCCTCTCCTCTCCTCTCCTCCCTGCTTCCTCCCCCCCCTCTCCCCCCTCCCATCGCATGGGAGCAGAGATGCGGACGTGTGTGGGCATGTGCGGCGACATCTCCAGTGGCTCGCTCGACATGAATCCAGCCAGCCCCAACCTCATCAGCTTCTCTGTCTGCGGCACGGTGCGTCCTCCCTAGGCACGGTGCGTCCTCCCTAGGCACGGTGCGTCCTCCCTAGGCCCGATGCGTCCTCCCTAGGCCCGGTGCGTCCTCCCTAGGCACGGTGCGTCCTCCCTAGGCACGGTGCGTCCTCCCTAGGCACGGTGCGTCCTCCCTAGGCCCGATGCGTCCTCCCTAGGCCCGGTGCGTCCCCACTAGGCACGGTGCGTCCTCCCTAGGCACGGTGCGTCCTCCCTAGGCACGGTGCGTCCTCCCTAGGCCCGGTGCGTCCCCACTAGGCCCGGTGCGTCCCCACTAGGCCCGGTGCGTCCTCACTAGGCCCGGTACGTCCCCACTAAAGTTGGGATATCGACGCTGAGATGAACTCAGGCTCACTCGACTGGACGCCCTCTGCCCTACCTGCTCTACCGCTTCACTAGACAGAGAAGCCAGCAGAGGCGAAGCAAGTTAGGGCAGCACTTCGAAGGGAAAGGGTGATGCAAGCAAGCAAGTGCAGCACCACCTGCGGGGAAAGCCAGCCCCTCTGCAAGGGCCCCATCCCCTTCCACTCCTCGCCATCCCATTTGCCCCCAACCCCCCCTCTCTCACTCCGCCCCCCCCGCCTTCGCATTTCCGCCCACCAGGGCAGCGACAGGGAGACGGTGAAGCTCGGATTCTCAAAGTGCAACATCAGCTACGGGGAGAGCCAGCCACTCTCCGTGCTACATGGCTGCCCGAGCGCGTAAGAAAAGTTTCTGTTACTGCCCGTTTGCTAGTCCAGTGGTTGTGGCCCTCTCCTGTGCCCATGTGTCCATGCGCCATGTGTCCATGTGCCCATGTGACATGTCCCATGTGCCATGTGCCCATGTGCCATGTGCCACGTGCCCATGTGCCACGTGCCCATGTGCCATGTGCCACGTGCCCATGTGCCATGTGCCCATGTGCCATGTGCCACGTGTCCATGTGCCATGTGCGCATGTGCCATGTGCCCATGTGCCATGTGCCATGTGCCACGTGCCCATGTGCCATGTGCCCATGTGCCTGTGAGCTCCAAGTTCCCATGTTCACATGGTCTCATGCGCCAATTGTGTGTATTGTCCCGTGTGCCTACCGTCCATGTGTTATTCCCCCCCCCTCCCCGCGCCCCACAGCACCCAGCTATCTCTCGCCGACTTCCCCAAGGGGAACATCTCAGTCCCCATCGGCTCCACCCCTCCATCCCATGCTGGCATTACCACTGCCGCCATCACTCCCACACCTCCCTCTCCTTCCCGCGCATCTTTCTGTGCTTTTTCCTCCCTACCCCCCACAGCACCAAGATCTCTCTCGCCGACTTCCCCAAGGGGAACATCTCAGTCCCCATCGACTCCACCGCGGACCCGCTCCCTCCGTCCAATGCTGGCACCGGCACATCTGTCACTCCCATTACCACCACCATCGAAAATGCCAAGAGTGGGGCAACAAACAGCAACGGCAGCGGTGGTGGCAGCAACACGGGTGGCAAAGGGGCGGCAGCACTGCATACCTCACATGCTGCTCTGCTGGCGGCCGTTGCTGCTGTTGCGCTTGCGATGCTAGCCTAGAAGTTTCTCTAACTAGGGTAACAGCGGGCCTAGTTGCTGGAGGGGTGGATGGTAGTGTGCCTTTGAGTTGGTTTACCAGTCATCTACCGGTAGTTTAGAATTCCATTACTTTTCGCCCTTGCCCAGCCCACAAATCAACCTGTCTCTCTCAAACCCCCTCATTCAGTCGGACGGGGATCAAGAGGGGTCCCAGCTTGATAACCCCTCTGCTATTTTGCCGTGGGGTTTTAAGATGGTGTACCGGTATGTTGAACCTTTTTCTTTTGGTGTTGGGTTTTTTCGCTTGCTTCTGCATCTTGAGTTCAAGCCTCTTGCTCTCTTGCGGAGCTTCAAATCTCTGTTCCAATTACTGGGAGCATGCTTCCAGCTCTATTGCTCTTGTTTTAGGCTTTCAACCCCTGTTCCCTTTGCTGAAGGCACGTTTCTGCTCCCTTGCCCAGCCATTGTTTTTGTACTTCACAGTTACCTAGTCCACGCACACTTGAAAAAGACCACCATTGAGGAAAATTAATAGAAAACCATCTTCATAGTCCACTTCATAAACATTTGTTTCACACGGGACCTCTCGAGCCCTCGAAGGCTACTTCTACGCGATGCTATATATGCAGCTACCCTGTCTGCACCCATCCTACCCCACCCAAGGGGGCACCAAACAAGCAGAGTAAAACGAACATCACAACCCTCACTATCATGCGACTTTTGAGTCGCCTCAAAAGTCACAATCACAACCCTCACTATCATGCGCCACAATCACCTCACCCATCCCATCACATCACAAGGGCAACCCACCAGCACAGTAACACCAGCATCGCGCCGGGGCAGCTGGACGCCAATGCCTGCGCGGGCTTTCCACTGGTGTTGCCGGTACCGCTGGCACCGCTGGCACTACTACCAGGCAGCAAAGGCACAGCGGCGGGCAGTGAGGAAGCTGGCTGGGCGGGTGGCTCCAGAGGTGATGAGATGGCATCGGGTGGAAGGGCTGACAGTGATGCCTGGGACCTGCGTGGAGGGAAGGAGGGTGGCAGACAGACAGACACAGGTGTTGAGTGCTTGGCGCACTGGTATTGCTGGTACCGCTGGCAGTGCTACCAGGCGGCGAAGGGACAGCAGCAGCCGATGAGGAAGCTCGCTGGGAGGGTGGCTCCAGAGGCGATGAAATGGCATCAGGTGGGAGGGCGGAAAGCGATGCCTGGGACCTGAATGGAGGAAGGAGGAGGGCGAGCGGACACAGTTTAGAGGGCTGGCAGTGCTGGCACCAGGTCCAGGTGTGAAGGCACAGCGGCGGGCAGTGAGGAAGCTGGTTGGGCGGTTGGCTCCAGAGGTGATGAGATGGCGTCGGGTGGAAGGGCGAACAGTGATGCCTGGGACCTGCGTGGAGGGACGACGCACGGAGGAAAGGCGAGACATGACCCTCAGAGACACGTGCACTGGAGCCCTCTTGGGACGCGTGTAAAGGCATGGCCAAGGCTAGGAGGAGAGACTCGGTGCCCGTGGCACCTGCGAAGCTCAGCACTCACTGAGTTTCTACTCCTAGCATGCCAGGTGCAAGTCCTGTGCGCGTGATAGTACATGGTTTTTGAGACGCCGCAGAAACATTCTTCTAACACGCAGCTAAGTTTCCACTCCTAGCATGCAAGTTGCAAGCCCCGTGCGCGTGCACGGTAGCAATGGGGGGCAGCGAGAGGCGCATGCAGCACGCCTGAAAGCATGGCCATGGCACGCCAGGAATGGGGACTCAGTGTGCGGGGCACCTGAGCAGGTCAGCACTCACTGCGCACCGCCGGTGAGGGAATCAGAACTTACTGATCAGGGCAGGTGAGGGAATCAGATCTTACCGACCAGGGCAGGTGAGGAAATCGGATCTTACCGATCAGGGCAGGTGAGGGAATCCAAACTAGTTGAGCACGGCAGGTGATGAGGGCAGCGAAAGGCGCATTAGACGCTCAATCTGAAACGCCTCAACGTAGCACCTCAATTTGAGACGCCTCAACACACCACCTCGACGACTCCTGCAAGGAATGGAAACTCACTGCGCAGGGCAGCCATGGAGGGCAGCGAGCGGCGCATCGGAGCCAAAGTCCATGTTGCAGGTTTGGTTGGTGGGGATGTAACGACTCTCTCCCGCACCGCACACATAGTTGGTCTTGCCGGCACAGTAGTCAAAGCACATCACCATTTCTGCGGTGGACAACAACAGGTGGGGAGAAAATACAGGGAGGTTTAAGCAAAGGGGGTGGGTGGGATGGTGTGTGTGTGTGCTGGCACAATAGTCAAAGCACATCACCATTTCTGCGGTGGGACAACAGCAGCAGAGGCAAAAAGGGTGGGAGATTTAAGGGAGTGCTGGACAGTGGTGGTGGTGGTGCCAGCACAGGAGAAAAGAGTGGAGACCCAAGGGAACTTGAGCGAATGGTGGCGCGGCGCCAGCACATCTGTGAAGGTACAACACCAGCACTGAGTTGAGACTAGCGGGTTTAGCATCCACGTGCATCTCTGCACTCAAGCATCTGCGCCTCATTAGTGCAATCTGCTGCCAATAAACTTGCACCGTCATCTACGTCATTACCGATCAGGGAAATACACCGGGTAGTTGACACACATCTCTCATCATCGCTACCTGTGATGCCGCATCAACTTGCGTGAGGAGTCTATTTTTGAGGCGCCTCAAAAATAGACTACCGGTGATGCGACATCAACTTGCATGAGCACTCCCCATCAACTTGCACGAGCACTCCCCATCAACATGCTTACCATTCCCCTTCCGTGCGGGGTAGTACACGAGGTAGTTGATGCACATCTCATCGTCGCTGCTGGGACCTCCTCTTGTCACCTGTAGCCTCACAGGAGGGCATGAGAGCCACACGAGGAATTATAAAAGAACACCAAATAGACGCCATTGTGTCAATACGTGGCAGCAACTGTATGATGACACCTGTGAATGTAAATTCGTAGGAGGGCACGAGAGCCACACGAGGAATTCTAAAAAACCAATTCAACACAGCAGGAGCGAGAGCCACACAGAGGCAGCACAATGAGGAGGGACGAGAGCCACACAGAGGCGGCACAATGAGGAGGGACGAGAGCCACACAGAGGCGGCACAATGAGGAGGGACGAGATCCACACAGAGGCGGCACAATGAGGAGGGACGAGAGCCACACAGAGGCGGCACAATGAGGTGGGACGAGAGCCACACAGAGGCGGCACAATGAGGAGGGACGAGAGCCACACAGAGGCGGCACAATGAGGAGGGACGAGAGCCACACAGAGGCGGCACAATGAGGAGGGACGAGAGCCACACAGAGGCGGCACAATGAGGAGGGACGAGAGCCACACAGAGGCGGCACAATGAGGAGGGACAAGAGCCACACAGAGGCGGCACAATGAGGAGGGAAGAGAGCCACACAGAGGCGGCACAATGAGGAGGGACGAGAGCCACACAGAGGCGGCACAATGAGGAGGGACGAGAGCCACACAGAGGCGGCACAATGAGGAGGGACGAGAGCCACACAGAGGCGGCACAATGAGGAGGAACGAGAGCCACACAGAGGCGGCACAATGAGGAGGAACGAGAGCCACACAGAGGCAGCACAATGAGGAGGAACGAGAGCCACACAGAGGCGGCACAATGAGGAGGGACGAGAGCCACACAGAGGCGGCCCAATGAGGAGGAACGAGAGCCACACAGAGGCGGCACAATGAGGAGGAACGAGAGCCACACAGAGGCGGCACAATGTTTGGTGACAGGCACAATGTTTGGTGACAGGCACAAACGGAGATGGGAGAAATGTCCTGCGGAGGTGCCATGGTTGCTTGCAGGTCATCACTCCAGGGGGTTCAGACGGCTGTCAGGTTTTGCAGCTGCGGTCATAACCTGACAGCCGTCTGAACCTGGGGACCAAGTAACAAGAGCCCCAGCTTGGCAGGTTACTTGAGCTCACTCCAGTGTGGACGGATGAGTCCCACACTGCAAAACATTCTAGTGTCACTATAGCGACGCACGTTGTACGTATGATGGCATTGGTTACAAGCGTCACAAGCGTTACAGGTCACGGCAGGTCACCCCATTGCATGTGGACAAGCCCCACACGCACGTGGCGCTGCTGCTCTAGAATGTTACACCGCGTTGCAACTCGCAGGACACTGGTTCTCACCGCGCTGTGGGCCGAGGAGTCCCACACACATGTGCCATGTGGTAATATCATGTGACACGCATAGCTGTGTCGCCCAGCCCAGCTCTTCCCAGCTCAACCCAGCGTGCCCCTAAGCTCTGAGCTCACCGTGGTGTGAGCCGAGGAGTCCCACACACATGTGGTGCTACCCCTACTGCTACAATAAGACACATGTGGTCTGACACGTCACGCACGACTCGCAGGTCACTGGAACTCACCGTGGTGCGTGCGGAGGAGTCCCACACGCACGTGGGCTGACCAGACACACCAGGTCACGCCTGAGCCCTGAGCTCACCGTGGTGCGCGCGGAGGAGTCCCACACGCATGTGGTGCGCAGCTCATCGCCGGGAAAAACCTCGTACTCGGGCATGATGGGCATGGTCTGCTGCGATGCGAAGTCGCTGCGGGGGGGGGGGAGGCGGGGGCACAGGGAGAGTAACTCTTTGAGTAACTCAAAACAAGTTCATCGTCCAGGGGCGGGGCGCAGGGGGAGGGGAACACATCGTAAAAGGTGCATCACATTCATGGTCTGCTGCGATGCTAAGTCACTGCAGTGCGGAGTGGAGGAGGGGGAGGGGGGGAGGGGAGGGATGAAGGGGAGTGAGAGTGATGATGTGGAGCCGGGGAGAGAAGTGGAGAAGTGGGGGTGACGAGGCCGCTTCAAGTGATACAAGCATGAGGTGAGAGGGAACGGAAAGGTGGAGGGGCGACGGACTAGAAACTAAGTAGTTGGCGCAGGGGGGCAAGGAGAAGAGGGCGAGGAGAAGAGGGCGAGGAGAAGAGGGTTGCGGGAACGTGCTGGTAGTCGTGGCACAAGGGAGGGGGAAGATAACGGAGAAAGGGAGACGCACTAATAGTCCAGGCACAGGGTAGGAGAACGAAGAGAGGGAAGGGAGAAAGGGAGACACACTAGTAGTCGAGGCGGCTGATGCTGCCCACTTTGCTGCCATCCCTGATCACCTCCGTGTACAGCTGAGCACACACAGGTCGGGGAGAGGAGGAGAGGAGAAAGGATGTTGACACAATAACCGGTGGGACACCACAGTCGACTTTCCCACTACTGACTTGCCACTAAACGGTGCTGACCACCTGCAAGGGACCCACTCACCTGCCAGCCGAGCCTGTGCACGTGAAGCATGGAGCCAACAATCTTGATGCCATGTGCTGACCATGTGGGCACTTGCCTTTGGACGGTCAGACACGACAGGGCGGTCTCTCACCTGCCGGCCAACAATCTCCATGCTCTCCTTCTTAACACCTTGCCACTCCTTGCCAGATGGCCACTTGCGTCGGCCTCAGTTGCCTGCCAGGCCAGTGCATGTGCAAGGGTCTGCCTCTCCTCCTAAGGTGCCTCACCTGCCGTCCGAGCCCGTGCATGTGCAGCATCGATCCAACGATCTTGATGCTCTCGTTCTGAAACACCTCGTCAGTGCACACGCCCGGGCACGTGGTGACTTGCGTCCAGGAGGGCATGGCGGGGGGGATGCGGATCTGCAGGTTGTAGTGCACGGGCCCCAGCATCATGATGGACGCCTCCACGGGCCGAGGGGCGTCCGCCAGCATCCAGTACATGCCCGAGCTGTCCACCATGCCGGCATGGCCCTCGGGGTTCGTGTAGTGCACCTGGGGAGGGGGGGGGGAGGGGAAGAGAGAGAAAGGGAGGGGAGAGAGAAAGGGATGGGGAGAGAAAGAAGGAATGAAGCACGCACACGTGCACACACACACGGCCCTCGGGGTTGGTGTAATGCACCTGGCAGCACGGCACAGGGAGGGGGCATGATGATATGAAAGCTAAGTTGCACTCAACGCTCAGAATCCTCAGCGTATAGCGTATAAACGAGACCTCAGCGTATAGCGTATAATTTCGTGGGCAGCCCGTCGAAAGAAAACACAAAATCTCAGATCGCCACTTCGTGATGTGGCGAAGCCAGCCACACTATCGCGAATGTCGAGACCCCAAATTTTTGCCCAGATCCAACTTCCAACCAATCTGCCCCCCCCAACCGCACTGCACCCCAAGGCGTCTACCAAACCCAACCAAACGTCAAATGTGCTAAGTCTACCTCTACCACCTAACACGCTGCTTAGAGCCCAGATCCCAAATCAGTTCACGCAAGTCAATGGGCAGAATTTGGGCTGGACGGGTGGAAAAAACAACTGTTTTATAGGGTGCGATAAAACGTGGTTCTGTTACTTCGTGGGAGATTTCGTCTGCAAGCTGGGCCCAGCTTGATTTGGGGGATTTCAAGTTGGGCCAAACACGGATCTGACGGCCCAGACGCAGGGACACATGAAGTCCCAATTTGTAAGCACAATTACAGCCGTCGATTGGAAACCTAGTGACAGCAGGGATTCAAGGGAGTTGGGCTTGGCAAGCCCGATCCAACGGCCGATATACCAGCCTCGATTTTGCCTCTCACAGTGGCGAAGTAATAGTCGGTTTTTTTTTTTTTTTTTTTTTTTTTTTTTTTTTTTTTTTTCTTGAGTGCGGTCAGCATCAAACTGGGCCCAGTTTGATGCCTGCCTGACTAATTTGGGACCTGGGATTTAACCTAAAACGTCTCGCGTAATCTACCAGCCGCATTCGGCGGCAGATTAAGCTAGAATCGTAGCTTTGGAAGCACCACGTCGCCTCGTTTTTTAGGCAGCGCCATTTCGACATGGATGAAACCTTGACATGGCGGTTATTTAAGCCTTGAAGGCTTAACTGTGTTCTCTGGTTCATGTTGCAATCAAAAACTATGCCCCACACCACATTCCCCCTTTTTCCCCCTCCCTAGACACGGTTTTTTCCCCTGCCCTGGGATTTTTTTTCGCCTGCCCGGACAAGCGTATACCTAGCGTATTCGTGGCCCCAAAAAAACGTATAGCGTGTCTACGCTAACGATTATACGCTAGACGATCAAACGCCATACGCATTTAGTGCAACTTAGTATGAAAGCAGGAGAGGGAATATCCAATGAAGGGATGGCAAGGGGATTGATTTGACGTATGGATAAAGAACAATAACAGCAACATGAAGAAGTCAAGACAACATGTAGACGATATACTAAGGCTTTTACTGGCAAGTTGATAAAAGCCATATCAGAAGTACTGGCAACCAGCTGCACTGCACTGCACCGCACTGCACCCACCTGGAGGATGAACTTGGTGAAGTAGCCCGGGCCGATGGGGTAGCCAACGTTGTCGGGGAGGGCGAAGGGGCGGCCGCCCACCGCAAAGACGGACACGACCGTGTCGCAGGGCACCGTGCGCATGCAGTCGATCACCTTTCCCGTGGGGGGGAGCTTCGGGTAGTCGATGCTGTGGGGGGGAAGAAGGGGGGCGAGGGGAAAGGGAGAGGGGGGAGAGGGGATAGGGAGAGGGGGGAGAGGGTGAAGGAAGGCCCATACAGCAAAGGTGTCGCAGGGCACCTCGTGCAGACAGTCCTTCACCTTTCTGGTGAGGGGAAGCTTCGGGTAGTCAATGCTGGTGCGGGGGAATCAGGGATGGGGGAGGGGGCGGGATAGGTAGAGGGGGCGGGAGGATGAATGACCAGCCAGCAACAGCAACAGCAACAGCAATTAACACGTGCATACACCATTTCTCTCCAACTCACGGTCTGCAGCCGTAGATGACGGAGTGATGGACGGCTGAGATCTGAGAGGAGTTGAGAGTGGTGTTGAGCACTGGGCCCCACTCTATCACGTGGGTCTTGGCCATCAGGGGCAGCTCCACCACCTGCCAGGGGGCACAGGGTGAGTTAGGGTAGGTGTTGAGAGGGTAGGGGTTGAGAGGGTAGGGGTGAGAGGGTAGGGGGTTGAGAGGGTAGGGGTTGAAAGGGTAGGGATTGAGATAGGGAGGGTATATCCGCCACTTAATCACGTGGGTCTTGACGTTGACTGGGTATGTCCGGGTCGGTAAAGAGGGTAGAGGTGAGAGGGTAGGAGGGGGAGAGATAGGGAGGGTGGGATCCGCGGGCAAGGCACGGTCAATGAAGGCGAGGCTCAGAAACCGCTGCTGCCTCCCTCGCCCATGAGGAGTCTACTTTTGAGATACATTGAGGAGCCTCAAAAATAGACTCGCCCGTGCCCACATTGCAGAGGTACGTGGCGGGGTCAGCGGCGGGCAACGCGTAGTCTTCGAACATGCGGTTCAGACACCGCTGCGCCTATGTTGCCGAGGCAAGTAGACGTGTAAGCATCGAATAATGCCACGCGCACCTTGCAGAGGCACGTGGACGCGTAAACATTGAGAGACTCGCGCAAAACCTTGCAGCGACTCGCGCCCACCCTGCAGCGACACAGACCTACCTTGCAGCGACACAGACCTACCTTGCAGCGACACAGACCTACCTTGCAGAGATACGTGGTGGGGTCCGCGGGCAAGTGATAGTAATTGAAAGTCAGGCTCAGAAACCGCTGCACCTTCCCTTGCCCCGCCTGCCTTCCGCCAGCAGCAGCAGCAGTAGCACCAGCAGCAGCGTCAGCATCACTTGATGCGGCAGCAGAGGAGGCGGAGGAGGCAGAAGAGGAGGGGGAGGAGGCAGAAGAGGAGGGGGAGCCCAGGGCCGGCGAGATGATGGAGGGGCCGGGAGCAGGCGCGAGCAGGAGAGGGGAGGCCCCGCGGGTGGACCCGTGGTAGCTGACGTCATCAGTGGTACCTGGGGGGGGGAGAGGAGGAAAGCGGGAAGTGAGGGGGAGGGGAGCGGGAGGGGAGTGGGAGGGAAGTGGGAGGGGAGTGAGAGGGGAGTGGGAGGGGGGTGGGGGGGGGAGGGGAGTGGGAGGGGAGTGGGAAGGAAGTGGGAGGGGGGTTGGAGGGGAGTGGGAGTGGAGCGGGAGGGGGGTGGGGGGGGGGGGGGAAGTTGGAGGGGAGTGGTTGGTCGAACAGCACGGAGCCAGGGAAGAGGGCCAAAGCACCGGAACCCGTGCTCTCCCGCACCAATTCCCCCCCACCCGCCCCTCATCCATTTTCCCCCATGCCCTCAACCATTCCAATGCCCTCACCCGTGTTCCTCACTTATGCCCCATGCCCATGCTCCCCCCCCCATGCCCCCATTCTCACCCATGGCCCAGACGACGTAGGACGGTGCCCCGGCGACGATGGGGCGGTCGTTACAGTCGCCGGTGTCCAGCTGGCGCCACACGTGCACGGTGGTCCACGTGGCGCCCGTGGATTGGTCGGCGGTCTGGCTGCCGCCCACCACGTGCCAATCCTGCTGCGCGTCCAACGCGACGCCTTCGCTCGTCTTGTTGAACACGAAGCGGTCCGTCGCATACGCGCGCCCCTCGCTCTCTGCGACCCATGCGACGAGAAGGTCTGCGCACAACGGGAGTGCGAAAAAGCAGAGTGAGCGAACGAACCGATCCGTCGCATCGCATACGTGCGGTCATTTCCTCGAGAACGAGGGTAAGGGAGAGGTGAGGCATTCTCGATACAGAGTCGTCGAGACAGGGATTGAGTGAGCGAGAAGGACGAATCAGAGAAGTCACTCGCTCAAACTTTGAGGACTATGATGAATGATATGCATTTTCAAATCATATGATCTGCCAAGAAGCAACTCGCTCTAATGCTAACGGATCAATTTGTAATGTCATTTTTTTCTAGGGATCGGTGTCTCGCATGTGTGGCGGGCGTGTTCAAAGTAAGTCGAAAATTTATTGTGGTCCGTCGCCCCCTCCACATCGGGCTTCTTGTTCAGAGTGGAGTGTCGGCTTTCGATGTGTGAATTGTTTCGACGTCGTGTTAATTGAACAGCGCCTGAACCTTAACGGTGAAAATCATCATTCGAACCCCTGATCCTGAATACGCAAGGTAGGGAAAGGTGTAATGCTGACGAAAGGAAACAATTACCTGAGCCGACCATGGATCCTATCTCGGAGATGCCTATAGCAAGCCATCCCGCCGTCTGCGCTTTGAACGCCACGTGGATGGTTCCGTCGCTCGCGTTGACGCTCCAGAAGAGCTCGAACCACGGATCGAGCAGCGCCGTGCTCGAGTAGGACGAGAGCTCGGGCAGGGAGGACGCGTCGCCGAGAATTGCGCCCCATATTGCGCCGGATCGCACGCGAGCATTGGAGAGAAGAGTTAACAGCGCCACCAAAACACACGCGGAAGACGGGAAACTCCTATTGCCGGGCGCCATCGCTCCTCCTAGCGCGAAATGAGCTAGAGACTCACTAACTTCGTGAATATTCGGAATACTGACGCTAGACGCAATCGATGCTGGAATTGATCTCCAGATTGCTTCTAGCGTCAATGTTCGGTTCTAGCACAGACATACTCGTTGGGGTGTAAGTCCGGCGGGGTGATCTCGTCGCGGTTCCGAACGAGTCGTTCGCGGTTCGCCAGAAAACCGTTTCCTTTACGAGTCGACATCGATTGGTGCGCTCCGCAATGCATCGGACAATCCGACAAATGCGACAAACATGGGTGTACTTGTGTCCAGTCCAGCCACAGCTGCCGACAGCCACAACTCAGACAGAGTCGAGTCCAGCAGCCACAGCCCGCAGCCGGCGCTGCTAGCACCCGTCCAGCCCAGCCACAGCCTGGACACTCACAAGTCAATCCCCGACAAAAATTGTACCTGTCACATCTTCTGTTCCTTCATATTATCGTCTAGACTTCTTCTACTCCATTTGAAGGTACTTAATTAATATTTATATGGAGTGAAACAAATGACCAAGCATGAGGATCCCTTACCACAAAGTATAACAAATTGCTTGCATATTAATATTTGGCTCACAAATCTGGCCCCCAACCTCTCCTTCGCCACCTTTCACTTATAATGAAATAACATATATATGCGTGCTTGCACAACATTGGAGGCATCACAGAGCACTTGGACGAAGCATGGCGACCTGGCGGCTTTGGTGGCCTGGTGGCTTTGGTGGCGGCGGCCGTAGTGACGGCCCACGCGGCTCAACGTGCCCGCTCCAGCCCTGTGAGTTGCTGGTGTTAAACTTAGGTAGCTAGGAGTAGGAGGAAGCCATGGAATGGCGTGAGGTTTAGGAAGGAGAAAGTTGAGGAGAGAAAAGAGTGAGAGAATAGGAAGAGAGAGGCATACAAGGAGGGAGTTATACCCTCTACAGTAGAGTTCGATAAATCTACCAAGCCTACCAATTATATAACAAAATATATAATTTATCAGCTAGTACCAGCTCCAGACTGGTCCCTTTCGTGACACCGTGCATAGCCGTTCTGGGCACACCGCTGTCCACAGCTATCGTCGCCTCGACGACCTCTTCCGTCTCCGCTTCGACCCCGGGCCGGACCTCTCGGAGTGGCCCAGCCTGGTACGTCGCCGCGTGCCTGTCTTCGAGATGGATATGGATCAGCTTCGCTCTGCTTTGTATGTCATGTATGCTGATGACTCTAGTATGACTGGACCTTATTTCCCTGTGTTGCCTAGCATAGGTGTACCCACTGTATGTAGTCTAGGCTCCCCTGTTGCGTCAGGCGTAGGATATCCTGCCTTCTTTAGCCTAGGCTCCACGCTAGTGCCCCCGCCAGCTGAAGCTATCGCCGCTCTCTCCTTCACGCTAGACTCTGGTGCGTCTGCTTGCTTCATTCGCGACCATACTGCGCTTACGCCGCTTGCTGCCCCGGCCGTCGTCGCCCTTGCTGACCCTTCCTCAGGTCCGGTAGTTGCACATACAGTGGCGGAATAAATTGTCCACATGTTCAACCTTTTTTGGCATTTTGATGAGTGCAGCGACGTAAACATTAAGCCTTAATGTATGGCGTGCATACACGCTGAGAAGTTCAGTTACAGCACACACTCGAGTTGACAGACACCAAAGTAGTACCACACATGGTCCTTAAACACCTAAGCATAGCATAGGAGAACATGTGGACAATTTGTACCGGAAAAAGGTATCATACTAGATTCTAGGAAAACTAGTACCTAGTCCAGCGTCCCTTTGCCCGAATCACTGCCTTGATCCTCCTCGGCAGGCTGTCGATCAGGTTTGCACACACCACCGCCGGTATCTTATCCCATTCCTCCTGCACCCTCTCCCACAGCTCCAGCATTCCCCTTGGCGGCTTTTCGTACTTCCCCAGCTGCCTTTTCAAGTATGCCCACAGGTGCTCAATCGGGTTAAGGTCCGGGGAGCACGACGGCCATTCCAGCACCGCGTACTCCTGCTCCCCAAGCCAATCTTGGACCAGACGAGACCTGTGCTTGGGATCATTGTCGTGCTGGAAAATGACCTCTAAGGGGGAAAGCTCGAAAAAATCGATGGTCTGTTTGAGCTCATCTTGCAAGATGCTGCGATACAGCGGCCCATCCATCGTGCCATCTATCTTGCACATGAACCCCGCCCCCTCATACGTCATGCAACCCCACACCATCACAGAACCGCCCCCATGCTTAACTGTCTGTTGGACTTGGTGGCTCCGAAGGCTGGTGCCCTCGTGAATCCAGACGTACGCACGTCCGTCGGAGCAGTAGCGGTTTATCTTTGTCTCGTCAGACCAAATCACCCGCTTCCAGTCCTCCAGCGTCCAGTCGGCATGCGACCGCGCGAAGTCGAGACGATCTCGGATGTTTTTCGGTGAGAGCCTGGGTTTCTTGGGCTGATGCACGGCGATCAGCCCCGCGGATCGTAATGAGTTCCGGACCGTCTTCGAGTCTACGGCGAGACCGTGCTTCTCCAACAACATATTTGCCGCTTCTACAGAGCTTTTCGCCTCGCCGCTTGTAATCGCGCGTACTATTCCGCGCTGGAGACGGGTAGTGATTAAGCGGGGGCGGCCGGCCGAAGGCATCGTAGGTCGCACCTCCTCGAGACTAGTCTCGGCAGCCACTTTCAAACTGTAATCGTGCACAGTGCTCTTGCCTATTCCAAGAACTGTGCCTATTTTCCTAGTCGAATGGCCCGCACGCAACATGCTTCTGATTCGCGCGCATTTCCGCTCAGTTAACGGCTTCATGGCGATGCGGTCGTAGGCTCGCTTCCGGACTAACTCTTAAGCCAGAAACTATTGCGCGTTACGATGTACACACTGAGTGACGGGGGAAAATAGATCTACTCTTCCGCTCGGTTGGAAATGTCCGCATCGACTGTCGAGGAGTAAATTTCAACCCCACTTTCAGGTTGTGACACAATTGCGCCAAGCAAGAAACGGTTGAAGCAGAACTCGGAAACCTTGTAACGGAATGGAAAAAACCGGGTGTTACTATTTTCGAAACATGTGTGGCATAGCGTGCTGTTTCAAAGTGCTAAACATCCGGGCAATTTAATCCGCCACTGTAGCTCCACGACAGTTTCCTACCTGACTGTTCCCTCGGGCTCCCTTATAGGTCTACACCTCCCCTCATTGTCTAGGTAGTTGGTGTCGGCTGTCTTCAATACCTCGGCGTCACCATTACATTTCCTGGACACGAGCAATATGCAGTCTGTACCGAGGCCGCCATTGGTACCCCTCTCACCATGTTCCCCCCGGACCCAATGTCCGGTCTGTTCACGCTGGACACCGCGTCCCCCCAGGTGGCTGCGTCTACCCAGGTCGTTGCGGCTTACTCGTGTTGGTCGCTCACTCACCCGTCGCTAGTGTGGCACCACCGAATGGTCACCCCGCCCTCCCGTGTCTGCGTTACATGTCCCAGAACGGTCTTGTCTTTAGGTCTCCCTGCGTCGCTCCCTGCCCTTCTTCCCTCGCCCACGCATCCGTGCACGGCTTGCATCGAGGGCCGGCTGCGCCGTGCTCCTCACTCCCCCTCGTTTCCCCCCACCACTGCGCCACTCCAGACCCTGCACTTGGACGTTTGGGGCCCAGCCCTCATCCCTGGCCGCGTCGCGAGCGCTACTTTCTAATGCTCGTAGACGAATACACACACTACACCACAGTGTTTCCCCTAAAGCGGAAGGTCGACGTGCATGACGTTATTATCCCATGGCTTGTAGGTTTCACCAACTCTCCTCTGGACCGGGTCTCCTGGTGACGCGTCTGCATTTCACGTCTAGGGCTGCCTAGCTCACGTCCACGAATCTCGCGCGAACAAGCTCACTGCCCGCACCGTCCCTTGTGTCTTTCTTGGCTTCCCCCTGGACGCATCTGACTGGCACTTCTACCACCTGCCGTCTCACTGTTTCTTTCACTTACGTGACGCCACCTTCGACAAGTCTGTCTCCCACCGAGGTCTCCCGGTCACCCCACCCCTGTTCCTTGTCCCTACTCCTCCAGTAGCTCCTGCTCCCCATCCTGCCTAGTCTCGTGTATCTCACGTCACCCCCTTCTCTCGGTTGCCTCGGCGGAGGAGTCTGCTAACTCTGAGGGCCCTGCGGCTCCGGGTCCGCCGCCTGTTTTTGCGGCGCTTGCACCATTGGCCTCGGTGTCTCCTCCACCGCCGCAGCAGCCGCCGCAACCGCAGGGGTCCGCGAGCTCTGGGGGTGCTGGGAGTGTGGGCGCTGAGGATGGTGCCGATCCTGGAGGGCATGGTTCAGGGGTTGCAGTCCCTGGGAGTGCGGGTTCTGAGGGCGCTAGTCATGGGGGTACTGTGGTGGCCAGTCCCGGGGATCCTAGGGGTGGCGCGGGTGCTCGAGAGGGTTCTAGTTCTGGAGGTGTTAGTCCTTGGGGTGCTGTCGTGGAGACTCCCGGGGATAGCCGTGGTCTGGCTGGAGGTCCTCGTGTGGGTGCAAATCAGCAGCAGCAGCCACAGCTGCAGCAGCAGCAACAGTCGCCGCCAGTTTCCGCCCTTCGCCTTCTCAGTCTCCCCTCCCATGACCGACCGCCAGCTCCTCCGTTCCTAGCAGCTTCTCGGTCTCCGTTCCATAGATGCAGAGATGGCATCTTTGAGATCCACCGGCACCTACGGTAATATAGTTCCCCCACCTGCGGCGAACATAGTCGATGGCCGGTGGCTCTTCAAGATGAAGCGCCCTCCTGGAGAACCGCCGGTGTTCAAGGCATGCTATGTTGCTAGAGGCTTCAGTCAACGCGAGGGTGTTGACTTCTTTCAGACCTTCGCCCCGACCCCGAAGATGACCACTCTTCAGGCACTGCTTCACATAGCAACACAGCGCAACTATGAGCTGCACTCCCTCAACTTCTCTACAGCGTTTCTCCAGGGCAGTCTGCACGAGCAAATCTACTGACTTGCGCCGCCCGCCAGGCTTCTCTGACACTTTCCCTCTTGGGATAGAGTGGTTCCTTCGGCGCACGGTTTACGCTCTGCGGCAGGCGCCCCGTAAGTGGTACGACACACCGCGCGCTACGTTAGCGGACCTACAATTTTTTCCGTCGT